GGCCGGATTTGCTGACTGGCCGAGGGGAGGGTAAACACTGACTGCCGTCTGGCTGTCGGCGTCGCAGCCAGTCGTTCGGCCCACTCATCCACCAAATCGCCATTTTCATACACCCCACCTACCCACCCACACACACACACCCACACACACACACACACACACACAAGCATTCTCCGCATGGTTTCGTCTCACGCCAGTCTGACCGGGCGTCAGACCTGGGCGTCCGGCCAACCTGGAGCCCAACTTGCACACACGCTGGCCCGATGGAGCCAAGAGGCAGACAGCTCGACAACCCGGTGACGAGACAACATTTGGATGATTCAGATTGGCTTCCAGGGTCGGCCTAGTCGGCCGGGTCGGCCGGGTGGGAGATTAAGCCCGACTGGCTCTACTCCTCATGCTCACTTTCTCTCCGCCCTACCCTCCAGCCCGCTGGGGCTTCGTTTCCCTCTCGGCCAGTCAACCGGCTTGAAGCGTTGCACTTTGATTAGTTGTCCCAGTCACAACCTCACAAAAGAGGACAATGGACACTGCCTTAAGCTGATTGGCCGGCTCAAGGATGCTCCACCTTCTGGTCGTCTCACTGCCTCAGCCTCCTCTCACAATCGGCTCTGATCGGACAGTCTATCTCGACTCGATCATATTTCTTTCACTTCGCTACGACAACACGATGACTTTATCACATTTATTCCACATGCACTCATCATGCTACCGCGACTTTTCAGTCACTTTTTGCCCACTGGCCCAGACCTCGAGTCCCACCGGCATGTCTGGCTTTTTTACCGAATGATCTGTTCAGGGTGCAGCATGATTTTCTTTCGCCCGTCTGCCACTCAACACGTTCTTTGTCTGCTTGTCTTACATGTAAACAAATATCCTGTTTTAAAGAGTTTACACTATTTATAAATCATATTTCCGTATTAGAGTGGAGTTTCGAGACGACCAGTAAATCAGTAAAATGAGATGTATTCACCCTATTTCGTCGAAGGTGATAAAGGACGGGTAGTAGAAATTTCACACAATAATATGAGTTGAGCTGACGTTTTCATTGAATTTCACAGCCTTGCTTTCCCAAAAGTTGATCTCATCAATTATATGAGATGTAATCACCCTATTTCGTTTAAGATTATGATAGTCTGGTAGTTGAATTTCCCCACAATGATAGGACTAAAGCTGACCCTTCCATTTAATTGCACATAGCCTTGTCTTTACAAAAGATGTTCTCATACAGGGTGAAAGGTAGTTTCAACCTCTGGTAGTCTCGAAACTCTGTCGTTAAACGAAAAATAAGTAATGAGATGTATTCAACCTATTTCGTGTAAGGTGACGAAGGACTTGTAGTATAATATTCCCACAATCATATGAGTTGAGCTGAAGTTTTCCATTGAATTTCACATAGCCTTGCTTTCCCAAAAGTTGTTCTCATCC